CGCGCCCGTACCGGACCAGGACCAGCAACGGGATCGCAACCCTCAGTGTTGCTCCCGCACCTCGCTCAGCCAGTGAGCAGCTGGTCTGTATGTGGGATCCAAACCCACGGCGGGAGCGCTGCCGCGCTTCCCAAGCGGCGCACTGTAGCAGTGCGCCACCGGGCCGGCCCTGGAGGTTTATCTTTTTTTTTTTTTTTCCTTTTTGTCTTTTTTCGGGACCGGCAACGGGTCGCAACCCTCAGTGTCGCGCCCGTACCGGACCGGGACCAGCAACGGGATCGCAACCCTCAGTGTTGCTCCCGCATCTCGCTCAGCCAGTGAGCAGCTGGTCTGTATGTGGGATCCAAACCCTCGGCGGGAGCGCTGCCGCGCTTCCCAAGCGGCGCACTGTAGCAGTGCGCCACCGGGCCGGCCCTGGAGGTTTATCTTTGGGGAGGTGAGAAAGGTGAGGTGGTGGGGGAGGAGATGGGTACTGGGAGAAGATGGGCTATAGGACCCCATAGAAATAAGATGAATCCAACTTACCTTCCTCTGTGGATGCCAGACAACCCGGTAAACAGGAAGCAGAAAGAGAAGAGAAATTCACATATGATTTGATGGCTCCAGACCACACCCAGCTCTAAACCCTCCTTTGCTCCCAAGAGAAAAAGACAAATGGGTTGGAAGCCAGGAACATCAGGTTCATGAAAGGAGATTTGTTCTCCTGGCCACTGCTATTTCTCACCTCTCCTTTCCTTACATTCTTCCATGCACCACAGCAGCAGTTTTAGGGCCCTCCAGTAAGAATACTGAATCATCAGGGCCGGCCCGTGGCTCACTCGGGAGAGTGCGGTGCTGATAACACCAAGGCCCCGGGTTTGTATCCTATATAGGGATGGCCGGTTAGCTCACTGGTTGAGTGGGGTGCTGACAACACCAAGTCAAGGGTTAAGATCCCTTTACCAGTCATCTTTATGAAAAAAAAAAAGAATACTAGTCATCTTTATGAAAAAAAAAAAAAGAATACCGAATCATCTTTCGTTACTTTTCAGTTAGACACAAACTTTACAAATTGCTTTTTACATGAATAAACCTATTCGATTTCATAAGACCAATCCTATGACATACAAGATAGGAACTGTCGGGCCGGCCCGTGGCTCACTCAGTAGAGTGCGGTGCTGATAACACCACGGCCACGGGTTCGGATCCCATATAGGGATGGCCGGTTTGCTCACTGGGTGAGTGTGGTGCTGACAACACCAAGTCAAGGGTTAAGATCCCCTTACCGGTCATTTTTTT